CTTCTACACGTATTTCACCTGTTGTCACCTTTACCTCTCCAACAATCTTAATTCTTAAGAAATAGCCTTAGTAACAGTGACAGTAGTCCTTATTTTATCTGTCCTATGTCAGGCACATTAGGTATATTCTCTAATTTTTGTGGCAGCGTTATGAGAAAATGGAACCAAGATCTGTTGTTTTTAAAGCATATTAAACACTATCTGAGACTATTTTCTCACATCTCTGTTCAATAATGATCAAAAGACAAATATTTAAATTTTAAGTCAAAAAAATAAATATACAGAAGAGAATTATCAAAAGCTTACTGGGAAAAAAAGTTAATTCATAAGTACAATGAAATTACTAATAGGTAATGGTTTTATATTTAAAAAGAGCTCTTTTACCAAACTGTATACTTAGAATGTACGTACTTTTCTATGTATATATTTCGGACAGAAAGTTAAAAGAAAAATAGACTTCACTACCCATCCATTAGATAGACATAGAGTGGATAGAAAAATCATTCAGGTAAAGCATTTCTAATAAGTGTGCACAGTGCATATCTCAAAAGCAAGTAAATAGTATATCCTTATCTGCCCTAAAAGCTATATTTCAGCGTGCATTTAAAAAATAAATGACTATACCCTGACTCTGAAATACTAAAGATCCTACTAAATGGAATAAGTATGGTCCCCTCAATAATTCTATATTTTACCTTTACTACCTTAAGACACAGTTAGCATCTTCAGCAAATTTACTTAAAAGCTGATAATTCAGTAAATTAACATTCTACTCCTTCCATGATAGGCCCAATCCTGTCCTGTTTGATGAGTCCACTGGGCTTTAGATATTACTGTCTCTTAATCACAGGTAGGTCATTGTCACTAGATCACAATGTAACTGCCTGAGTAAGGTGCAGCCATTATTAGATAGCCTGTAGACAAGGTAGCAAGACCATCCTGGTGACTCAGTAAGATGTTAGACCAGAAGGGAATATTAGATCCAGATATGTTAGACAACTATGGGCAGTTTTCAAAAACACAGAGGTACTCAGGCTGGAATGTCTAAGCTCCTCTCGATATGACAGCACCAGTATGGCCACCAAAATGAGCAACAGTCCCTTGAGGAATTCAAGACACTCAAGAAACGACACTCACTAAACAACAATATACCATTCTGGGAACTCTGGACACCTTTCCTAACATTTGTAGAAATCTTTGAACATTTTGTAGAAATCTGTAACTTCTAAACCTTTACAGAAGTTTCCGATCCAGTTCTCTATGGGACTTCTTGATCCCAACATCTTTCAAGAAGCCTGATTTCTCTGTGTTGAGGAAGAAAAATATATGAAGTGAAAAACAAAACAAAACAAAACCACATGACACCCTCTATCATGTGTACTAAGTTTTTCATTCTCATATTTATTAAGATATAACCAAACTGTTAAATACCTACATTAATTGTTTTTACTTAAACTAAAAATTGACGCCCCAAGAAGTGAAAACAGCTGCAGTCCAAACAAAAGATGAATATAAACAGATAATATTAAACCATTAAAAACTTTAAGAAAATGATCTTAACCTGAGTGCGGCACTTCCTTGAACTTATCAGACATTCAGTAATAACTGAAGTTGTAGAAAATTCCAGCTTTGGAGCAATTCCCTGAGAGGAAAAATAAAGGTAATATTAGAGAGTTCCATTTTCAAGGAGTTAATTATTAGGGATAAGAATATGACCAAAAGTAATAAACACTTATCGAGGTTCACTTACTTCATTTGTTAGTTTGAAATTCTTATTAAAGACAAAAACACCATAGTAATACTAAATGCCCGCAAGCAACAGTGTTATTGCTGATGACACAGTTAAAAGTGACTATATTACTTTTTTTTTAGGTGTTAATTAATACCTTCTTTTATTTTCAAGTGTTTTCCTATAAAATTGTTTTTAAAAAAAATTTTTTTTTTTGAGACAGAGTCTCACTTTGTCACCCTCCATAGAGTGCTGGAACGTCATAGCTCATATAAACCTCAAACTCTTGGGCTTAAGCGATTCTCTTGCCTCAGCCTCCCAAGTAGCTGGGACGACAGGTGCCCACCACAATGCCTGGCTATTTTTAGAGACAAGGCCTCATTCTGGCTCAGACTGGTCTCAAACCTGTGAGCTCAGGCAATCCACCTGTGAGCCACTACACCTGACCCCAAATTATTTTAGAATTTTAATTACAATATTATAGTTATAAACATATGAACATACTTCATGGATGTCAGTTTTTTACTTTTCACAACTTAATTGTGAAAAGTAAATATATAATTGAGACATTAGTATATTAGCTTGATTTAGCCATTCTATAATGCATACATATATATATATATATGTTTTAGATACCTCAAAACATCGTGTTGTACCTCATAACTATATACAATTTTTATTTGTCAATTAAAAATTTTTTAAAAAGAAATACTTCGGATAATCTTATTTAGGGAAAAAAACCCCACACACAGCTCTAACATATACAGTTCCTGCAAACAAAGCAGGAATAAGTCTCTCAACATTTTTTTCTATTATGTAACTTACATTCAGATCTAAGAATGATCTGGCTCCTATTTCTAATACCATTCCAATCATCAGCTTAAACATTGTTTGAGATAAGTAGGGAAAAATGATAACGTTCAAAGGAAACAGAAAGTATCTGAGAAAATATTTGGAAGCACATAATTATGCATTCACCAAAACATTAAAGAATCTCAACTGTGTCCAGGAAAGTGCAAATCAGACATTGACCAAAAGGCCTAAATTTGACACATAAACCCAGCCTGTGACCAACTATTTCTATTTGTTAATTGCCTATTATTATAAAACATATTACCCTGAAATGATAGTTTAAAACATCAGTGAACACATTATAATTTCAAATAGTTTCTATGGGTCACAAATCTGACACAAGATGAGCTGTGTGTTGCTAACTTAGAAGACTGTGGTCAAGATGCCATTTGAGTTGTGGTCATCCGAAGCTTCTCAAAGTTTGACTGAGGTTTAAGAGGTTTAAGTTTGAGGTTAAGTTAAGAGGTTTAAGAGGTAAAGTTTGACTGAGGTTTAAGAATCTGGTTCCAAAAACTGAACCTTCTCAAATTTGACTGGGGCTTGAGAATCTACTTCCCCAGAAGGCTAACTCACATGGATGTTGGTTTGAGGTCTCAGTTCCTTTCTAGGTCTTGGCAGAATCACTCAGCTCCTTATCAAATAAGCCTCTTTATGCGGCTGCTGAATGTCCTCATGACACAGTGGCTGGCTTCCTCAAAGTGGGTGATCGAAGCCACAATGATGCAGTCTGAGAACTCTAACAGTCCCACTACCACATATTCTATTCATTAGAGTTTCTGAGTACAGCTCATACTCAAGGACAGAGGAGGTAGGCTACTTTTTCAATGAAAGAGTATAAAAAAATTATGCACGGGTTTAAAACCCACCAGTCTGCTCTTTGACTAAAAATAACCTATGTTTCTCTCACATTCTAAACACATTCGTGCTCTTACCAAAAACAAAATGAAAAGTCTATCCTTTTACAATGCCAACTTGAAATTCAGGATGTTGGCATCTAAATCAAATCCCAGGACAGTTAAGGCTCCTTGGATGTAGTTCTTCAAGTACAACTTTGGGAATAAATTCCTTATGATCAGAAGACCCTGTGAACTAGAGAGACAAGCTATCTACCCATGTGCAGCAAGCACAAGACAATCACTGTAGATATTCCTGTTAAAAAAGAGAGAAAACTGGAGGCAAATAGGATACAAATTCTCAAATCCAGCCTGGGAAATGCTGGGGGTCATTGAGTAGGACCTGCTCAGAAATAACCATCCATGGTTCCTGGCTCCACATTCCAGGTTCTAGCTTCCCATCCATTGAATCATGTCTTTGAAATGAGAGGTAGGCTGCTTATAACTGCATAGTGTTCTGAACTTGGGTCTTATCTACAGAACTTTGAAGGTCCCAAAGCCCTTTCATTTTGTAATGTTTCTCCTCATTTAAGACTAAGCTGGTGGTGTTTTAGCCAATATAATGCTCTTAAAATTGCTTTGGTTCTCATGTGAATCTGGACATATTATATAACTACTACAGCCTGGACTACAACTTATCACCTTATCTCTCCCTATGTATTATTGGTCATGTAGTAAGTACTCAACTAACATTTTAGCCATTATATTTACTGACCTTTCAAACAGCTGTACCATTCAGAGTTGTTCAGAGAAACAAAAGTAATAGAATATGTAGAGTGAAAGAGATTTATTTTAAGGAATTAATTCACACAATCATGGGAGATGGCAAATCCAAAATCCATAGGGCAGGCTGGCACACAGAAAACTCAGGAAAGGATTGATGTGCAGTCTTGAGCATGAAATCTGCAGTGTAGACTA